TAAAAAATAATATACTAAAATTTGTAACTCTAGTATAACGTTTTATATTTTTAAAGACTTTTCAAAATACTCATCAAACCGTGGACTTGCAACTATTGGAAACTAGAGTGTGCAAGAGTGCATTTGTTCACAAAATTGCACATTTATAGCTTTTTTTGTTAGAAACATATTTGATTTTATATTTTTATAATTCAGTACACATATTAGGTAATAACATACTGAAATTTCATAGTTCTAGTATAATATTGTATATTTTTCAAACATTTTTCAAAAGTACTTCTTATATCATGTCCAACCGTCGTTTCGCAACTAATAAAAATAGAGTATGCAAGTGTGCATTGCAATTTTTTAGTTTCTTCTGTTAGAAACATATTCAATTTTATATTTTTATAATTGAGTACATATATTAGGCAATGACATACTGAAATTTCATAGCTCTAGTATAATATTGTATATTTTTAAAACATTTTTCAAAAGTACTTCTTATATCATATCCAACCGTCGATTCTCAACTAATAAAAATAGAGTATGTAAGTGTGCATTGCAATTTTTCAGTTTCTTCTGTTAGAAACATATTTGATTTTATATTTTTATAATCTAATACACATATTAGGAAATAACATACTAAAATTTCATAGCTCTAGTATAATATTGTATATTTTTAAAACATTTTTCAAAAGTACTTCTTATATCATATCTAACCGTCGATTCGCAACTAATAAAAATTGAGTATGCAAGTGTGCATTGCAATTTTTTAGTTTCTTCTGTTAGAACATTATGTGATTTTATACTTTACTAATTGAGTACACATATTAAGAAAAAACATACTATAATTTCATAACTGTATTACAAAGCTCTATATTTTTAAAATATATTTTAAACCGTCAATTTGTTTACGTCAAAGCGTTTACTAACGTTATAACTACGAACAAAACTACTTACTACAATTTAATCATAATTAAGTAATATTCACGTAAAATATCCTATTAAACGTAATTGTATCTCATCTGTCAAAAACGTTTGACATTTGACGTATTAGCCACCGTCCATTGTTTTATTCAAATTACGCTTCTACAAAAATTTTCAAATTAAAAATGTAAAGTTTCTAGGCGATTTTGAAATAATATCTCACCGTTGCGGCGTTACGATTGAACATCGTCTGTCAAAAACATTTGACATTTGACGTATTAGCTACCCTCCATGATTTTATTTAAATTACGCTTCTACAAAAAAAAATCAAATTAAAAATGTAAAGTTTCTAGGCGATTTTGAAATAATATCTCACTGTTACGACAACCTACTGGTTAGCACGAGTTTTGCAAGACTAAGACTGGCCAAATCGGTTTAGCCGTTTTCGAGTATAACCGAATCATTTGATCGAGATATATAAGATTACAAATTTTTTTACTATTTTTTACCTTCTGGGCAATGTGTATAAGCATCACTAGCAGCTGAATATTCGACTCTGTAACCTCTTTGTAACAAAAGTGTGCAAAGCCATCGATCTTCGCCTTGATCGTACTGGACATAATGTCTGGCTTCATCAGATTTTGTGGTGTATTTTTTCATAACATTGTCATCCATAAGGGCTTTGCCTCTGAAAAGGGAGAAACAACCAGGACTACAAAGTACACAGCCTATCATGTGTTCTGTTGCTTTTTGGAGCCAATGACCGATGGCGTATTCGAACATTTGGTACCAAACCATAGGACCTGGTAATAGAAACATAGTTGAGTAGAAAAACATTTAGGCCAAAAATGTGATTATTGCCTGGTTGAGCATAAAAACATTTAAGCTAAAAATGTAATTATTATATTATTACCTGAGCCTATAGGATGGATTCGTCCACAAGCAGCTCCCAAGTTTTTATTCTTCTTCATCAAATCCACCAACAATTGTACAGCCTGAGGTTGAAAATCAATGTCACCATCCAAAGTTAGCAAATAAGTATTCTCAGCCATCACAGCTTTTCTGTCGACTGATATAGGCAATTCCATCAACCTATGCCCCAACAAGTAGTACATATACATGACTTGTGACCATCGTTTTCTGTGCCTAATTTTAGATTTATCTTTGAGATGAGCAATCATTTTGGTTTTTCCTGGTAAAGTCCATACTAATCTACCACCGTAAGGTGTTGGATATTTTTTAGGGGCACGTATTCTGATATTGGTGTGATGTACATCAGAAGCTGCCTCGTCTATTGTATTCACCAAAAGTTTTACGAATCTGTTGACTTGGGAATCGTCGTCGTTGTGGTCCGAAATTTCGAAGGCGTCATCGAAGAAAATGTGTGCTGAAAATGAAACAATGAGTATATTTAACCCAAATATTTAAATGTGAGTCAATTATTCTTACTTTCGAATTCGTAGTAATCAGGATCAACGACTCGAAGGTATTTCTGGGCTACACGTCGAGCACATTGATCTTCGTCCAGGCGTAAAATTGATTTTAAAAATTCTATCATTTCGTCTCTGGTTTCGTGCCACATGGTGGCACATGCGTATATTCTGGTTATGTGATCAGATGATTTTATTGTTTTTTGATTTGCTGATCCGTCTGTGTGCACTGATATTGTTTCGTAGTACTCGTCACCTTTTTCTTTCTCGATTTCAGCCAAATCCTAAGAAGGTAAAAAATACTTCTTGAAAATCAACTGTAGGCATAAACTCAAGAAATTTTTGAAAAATTACTTTTAAATTGTTTTTTATAACAAAAGTTATTGATTTTATTATTTGTTGTTAAAATAGACATTTTTTTTAATTATATTTAAAAATTTTAAGACTGTAGTACAAACAGTGTGTCCCTGAGAGCTCCTCAAAAACCAATACCATGGATGAACTTGTACACTGGTCAAGAAATTTTTGATAAAATTACTTTTAAATTGTTTTTTATGACAAAAGTTATTGATTTTAATGTTTGTTGTTAAAATAGAAATTATGTTTGGTTATATTGAAAAATTGTATGGCTGTAGTACAAACGGTGCGTCCCTGAGAGCTCCTTAAAAACCAATAACTGTATGCATGAACTTGTGTACTAATCAAGAATTGTTTGATAAAATTACTTTTAAGTCGTATTTTATAACAAAAGTTATTGATTTTAGCTGTTTTTAAGAGAATCTTGTGTGATTTTATATTTTTATAATTTAGTACACATATTAAGAAATAACATACTAAAGTTTGTAACTCTAGTATAACGTTTTTATATTTTTAAATATTTTTCAAAGTACTCATCAAACTGTGGACTAGCAACTATTGGAAACTAGATATGCAAGAGCGCATTTGTTTATAAAATTGCACATTTATAGCTTTTTTGTCAGAAACATATGTGATTTTATATTTTATAATTGAGTACATATATTAGGTAATAACATACTAAAATTTCATAGCTCTAGTATAATATTGTATATTTTTAAAACATTTTTCAAAAGTACCGCTTATATCATATCCAACCGTCGATTCGCAACTAATAAAAATAGAGTATGAATAGAAATATCTATTAAATTTACTTATAACACGGATTTTATAACAAGAACTATTAATTTTAATTATTGTTGTTAAAATAGACATTTGGTTAATTATACTGAACAATTTCAAGACTGTAGTACAAACGGTGCGTCCTTGAGAGCTCCTTAAAATCTAACAACTGTATGCATGAACTTGTGTACTAGTCAAGAATTGTTTGATAAAATTACCTTTAAGTCGTATTTTATAACAAGAGTTATCGATTTTAGTATTTGTTGTTAAAATAGACTCTTTGTTTAATTGTACTGAAAAATTTTAAGACTGTAGTACAAACGGTGCGTCCCTGAGAGCTCCTTAAAAACCAACAACTGTTTACATGAACTTGTGCACTAATCAAGAAATGTTTGATAAATTATTTTTAAATTGTATGTTATAACTAAAGTTATCGATTTTAGTATTTGTTGTTAAAATAGAAATTTTGTTTAATTATACTGAAAAATTTCAAGACTGTAGTACAAACGGTGCGTCCATGAGAGCTCCTTAAAAACCAACAACAAAAGATAACGAATTTTGATAAAATTATATCTGACTAGTATTTTATAACAAATTTTATTGATTTTTGAGAGCAATTTTATGAAAAAACTGTTAACTGTTAAACCTCACAAAACCATTAACTAAAGCATACTAAAAAATTATTTACCTATTGCAAACTAAATAACGGTGCTCAAAACCGAAAAATATCGAACATCGTATAATATTTTACTATTACAAAATCTATCGTCAATTTTATTATAGGTGGAGCGATTTGTGGTTAAACGAAGGATTTAATATAAAATAAAAGCAAATAATAATAAAAATAAAAATTAATATATAAAATAAATAAAAATTCTGAATTATAAAGTAATACTAGAAAAACAGTAAAATTGTACTTTAGATTAATTAATTGATTTTTATTACCTCAGTCTTGACATCGGCTTGATCGTCTCTACGTCTATTCAACCCCATAGATTGATCAATCAAAAGTGCATTATACATCGGTGAGACAAATAATTTTTCAGTAGTCGCCAAACGTTCACATTTCGGTGTCCAAATATGCAAAGTTATCCAAGTTTGTGACAACAACCAGAGCAACCAAACCCAGGCCATTTGCCTTGACAAAAACTCCTCCAAAAAATAGGCTGGTGGACTTTCGAAGAACAAATAATCAGGTAATGTACCATGGAAAAAGCAAGGGTCACCATTTCTTATACCACAAGCGGCTATCAGAAGAGATATGCAAACTGGTATGGTAAGATTTACAGGAAAGGCGTAGCTGAAACCTTGGATTAAAATTTTGCAAGCAAATTTGCCGAAGACGTAACAAAAATACGCCGACAAAATTTGGATAATAAGCAAAAATATTGGTGCGTTGTTTGCAGCCATTTTGTCAATCGAATCGCCTTGTTGAGCTATTTCACTTGCATCAGATAATATAGTACCACTTTGAAACTGTTGAACCTGAGGAAAAAAATATTATAATAAAAATAATTATTATATATATATATATTATCTTAATAATAATAAATTACATATGTCTATTATACTTACGACTTCTTCGACGATAATTTTGTGGTCTCCAAATCCTGACTTGAACATAAGAAAGAAATTGCCGACGTCATCGCCTTTGGCCCAAATGATAAAAAGTAATGATCCAAAAAATACGACTAGTTTCCAAACGCTAATAAATATATAACAGAAATATCGGGAGTGCTTCATGTTTTCTTTCATGCGACCTAATTTTTTCATAAATCCTAAGGGAAAAAATTATAAGAAAATGTGATAATACAGTAAAAATTCATAAGAAATAAAATATTAATATGTGTAGGAATATTAAATATATTTTTGTTTACTTTTTTGTATGAATTCACACTTAAACTCAGAAATTCTTAAAATCAGACTTAAATTCAGACTTAAAGCAAAAATTAATAAATAAATAATTAAAATAAAATATAATTAGCAAACCGAATTTTCTAGCTAAAACATAAGTTTCTCCATAGGCAAGTTAAAAAATAAAGTATGTAATTAAGTATATTATTAAAATTATCACGGTAAAAGATTGAATAAAATTTCATAAATTTAATTTAATTTAAAATTTAATTTAATAATTTAATTTAATGATATAAAATTTTCATTGTAAACTAAATTAATTACTGTATCTCATATACAAGTATTATTTCACATAAAGTTGTGAATCAAATTAAATTTATTTCGTTTATTTCAGTATTTTGTTAAATATTTTTCCGATCAGTTTCCAACATATTTTTTCAAATTGACATAATTGACAGTCAAAATGTTTTTTTTATTCTCATTTTAAACAGCAATCAGAACTTCTGTTTTAAGAACTCTTATGCCTTATATTTATATTTATTTATATTTATAATTATTTATTTATATTACGGATACAGGTTTAAATTTAGTAATTAAAGAAAATAAATTATCTTACAGTAAAATACAACTCTAAAACAATATTAAGCCTAACATTTGTATTATGTAATGCAATAACTTGAAGAAAAAATGTTATAATATTGAGATAGTTTATGTAAGGCTTGTAGATCTTTAGATTCTCCTGATGGTAAAAAAAATCCTTTAATACTGTTTATGCAACCCAACGGTCAGCCTATTTAGATTTAATAGACTATCTTATAAGAATTTCATTTAATAACAATATAAAACAAATCAAAGATCAAGTACATATTTTTATAGAATATATTTAAAACAAGGAACATAAAATATTTCGGTTGATTTTGGTTGTTTGTCTCTTACAAAAGTATTTTTTGCCAAAAAATTAAGTTTAATTTTTTTAAATATTTTCAAAAAAAATTTAATGTATTTCATTAAAAAATCTTCAGTGTCGCAATTATAAGTCTTAGAATGATATATTCTTGATAAGACGCAGTCAAAAATATTTAATAATACAATGACGGATTTTACAGATTTTGTATCAAAAAGATATAAGTATCCTTCTTTATCTATATTGTTTTGCACCCCTACTTTTATTATTAATTAATCAGTTAATTTACTACGATTCCATGCCAACAATTATATACACTTCGATATAAAAGTTTGGAATAAAACGACTTTGTATTCGATCTTTCATTATTCTTTGGAAATAAATAGAAAATTCGGAACATTTTTTTGGTTTTTGTCAAATATTAGGTTGTCAAATATCTCCCTTCCGCCTTTTTGTATTATAAACCAAGAGCAAAAAAGCGGAAGGGAGATATTTGACAACCTAATAACTCACAAATAGCATATGAAAGCATCCCTTTTCAGTTAGATAGGGAGAAACTAGATAAATTTTACTACGATTCCGTACCAACATTTATATACACTCCGATATAAAACTTTAGGATAAAACGCCTTTGAATTCGATCTTTCACATTCTTTAGCATTTAGCAGAAATTTCGGGGCATTTTTTTGGTTTTTGTCAAATAACTCTATATTTCTATTATCCTATTTTTATTCTAATTATTTTATTACCTAAAGGGCTCTGATCAGAGACATAATTCTCCCACCAGCCACAAGATATGCAGGCGATACTGATCGGAATTAGCCAGAGCTCGGCTTTGCCTTCCAGAAGTGGCCACACAACAAAGCCGGTCACCTGTGAAAGTACAAGAACTCGATAGATAAATCCATATATAGATATACATAAATCATTGAACGAGAGCCAATAGTAATATATTTGAGAAAATCATTTTACAAGAAATTTCGTGATTTTCCATCAATTTTACGCATGAAAAATTTAGTTGAACACAAAGGAGCTACTAGCAAGTATGAAAATACTTGGCTATGTACAACTAGTTGAATTAAGGAGCACAACTAGTGTAAAATTTTCAAAAAATCGAATTTTCAATTTTTTCATATCTCGATAGGTTTTACTTTTAAAAATAACATACCAAAATTTTAAATCGACATCTTAAATAGTTATTGAATAACAGCCATTTAAAGAGTATATATATATAAAGTATAACGATTATTTAATCTTTAAACGCGTTTTTCTCGAAACAGCATTTTCCAAATTTGCTGCAGCGATTACTCAAAAACAAATGATTCGATCACTATCAATTTTTTTTACATGTTTTATATATAGTTCTCCGTAAAATGAACTATCGATTTTTTGATCGGATCAAAAATCAAATTTTGGCAGTCCAAAAACGACCAAAATTTTGGGTAAAATTCGACTTTTTTTTTAAAAAACGCCGTCATTTTATCAATTTTTGATTTTTTTTCTCTATCATAGTTCATTTTACAGACAATATTATCTAGTTTACCGAGATTTTTTTTTCAAATTTCATCCACGTAGAAGGCCGGAATCACTGCAGCAGTGAAGGGCCTTTTTTTGTCGTGCTGTTGGAGATCGACGATAACTTAAAAAATATTTAATTTTTTTCTTTAAAATTATTACTCTGTATTTTTAAAACATGTATAAATATATTCCCAAAATTCAGAACAGATTGATAAAGTAGTTTTTTTAATATAAATTCCCAAAATTCACCTTTTTAGGCGGTTACACTAGTTGTGCCCCTTAATGATTTTCAACGTGAAAACTTCATTCATTCAAAGTGATTACAATATATTAAGTTTGTCTAATAAATATACATATATGATGGATGTAATGATGAAAATGTTATTCAAATATAAATTATGTAGCATAACAATGAAACCGATAAAAATTCAGTATTGATTAAATTCAAGTACGAAACTAACGACGAACTAATAATGATTGGTCCTTAGTTTTCCGTAACAAAAGTGCTTTGCATGGTATTTGCATGGTTACAAGACAGTCTTTTATTTTTGATAAATTATTAAATATTTATATTTAATGAATTTGAAGGGTTGTTAATTGATTTTTTTTAAATTTTGAAATTTTTTACTAGCTGTCTGTCTATTATCAACGACAAGGCGTAGACACTTTCTGAACGCAATGCGAATGTCTTGTAATGTAATTGGAGCGTTACAATTTCATAATATAATATAATATCATGAGTGATAAACCTACAGATAATATGAAATATGTATTTTGTATGGAAATAGCATAAATTTTTTTTCAAAAATTTTGAAGAGCGTCGAATTTTCAATAAAAAATGATACAAATTTTCACTTTTAATTCATTTGTCGCTAAGTCATACCTAAAAACTTTTTTTTTTTAATTTTCAAAATTTTTTCCATGCTATTTCCATACGAAGTTTGATTGAATTGCGCACTATCTAAAAGTTAATATTGAGAGCTAAAACTCTCAGGGAATTGTTTTTTATTAATTTGGAACCATTTGAGCCCAAGATCAAAGAAATTCGAAAATCTCCATATTAAGGACCACCCTAATATATATATATATATATATATATATATATAACAAATTCTAAAAATACCATCAGAAACTAGTGGTCAAGTTTCCAATATTACAGTTTTCATTCTTGAATAAGTTAAATTGTATGATCTGATTTTTGTTTTCACATTGAACTATAAGTAAGATTTAAAATTATTAATATACTAAATGTATGACATACTAATTATATTTTCCAAAGTAATATTTATGTTTCTTATGATTGTTCCAATTAAAACTCGTGCATATCCAATGCAAATAAAAGTCCCAAATTATTATAGTCCCGGATTTTTCTTAAATGCAATATTTATCCCGTTGTCAATATATATATTAAATATATTTTAACTAACTTTATTTTTATAAAATTTACACCCATTCAAAGCGATATTACTTACTAAATATGATTATGGAAAACATTATACTGAATTTAATATCTATACAATGCTTTATACTTAACGAGTCAAAGTTAATACAGGTGCACTTATTAACTTGTAACTATTTGTTATACATACAAGTTTATCAAATGATTCAAAATTTAGCCTATATGATTCATCAAAGTATAAACAATAATATGTACAATAATATCTCTATTAATTTCTTGCTAGTTTTTAGAAAATCAGGTTTTACAAAGTCCGGCAAATGTCTAATAGAGCGTTGCACTATGTAACTTGTAACTATTTATTACCCATACAGGTGTATCAAATGATTCAAAATTTAGCCTATATGATTTATCAAAGTATAAACAATAATATGTACTATAATAATCCTGTTAATTTCTCGTTAGTTTTTAAAAAATCAGATTTTACAAAGTCCGGCGAATGTCTAATAGTCAACCTGGAACGACGTGTCAAATCAGGTTAAATGCACAATGCCCGGAAAGTCGCGGAAAAAGAGAATATTAATAAATATTGCATGAAACAATATTTTTGAAAAAATAATTTTAAAATGAGATATGTTTAAAAATATCTTAAAAATGGATACAAAATAATACAAAACAATAACTTGAAAAAAGTTTTTGCTATATGATGGTTAAAAATGGCTTGCGAAAAATGAAAGTGTTCATCCTTATTCTAAAAAATTGGCTGAACTATAAAAATTGACAAATGTTATATATATATATATATATATATATATATAGTATTATTAAATAGTTCTTCTTACCTGAGCTGCAATTGCAACTAGATCGACGATTACTTTAACAGCCCTTTTAGATTCTTTACTGCCTCGTGATAGTAAACCTAAAATAATTTAATTTAAATAAAAAAAATACTTTGTAAAAATTATTAACGTAAGGAAATTGTGTTTTTGAAACTATACTGTATATAGAATCAATATCTACACTTAATGTGAATATAGCTAAGTCAAAGCTCATGGATCTCATTTTTTAAAAATAGTGAGAAATTATATAAATAATTATTTAAATAAGTCTGATCGTTTCGAGCCAGATACAGAAAGTTGATGACTTTTTCATAAAAAAAATCCATAAATGTATATTCCATATTTAACTACAATAAAACAAACTTTTATCACTAGTATCAATTAGTAATTTTAAATCGCTATAAAAAATAAATATCTACACTATATGTGAAGTATATGATATTTAATTAACATCTTTCTCTGTAATTTATTTTAACTCTTTTAAAAACTCAAAACATGAAAAGTTATATTGATAAATATTTAATTTAAATAAATTCAATTGTTTAGAACTTAATCCAAAAAATTTAATATTTTATTAAAAACTGATATTCCTTATAAGTTAAAGATAGAAAAAAATTTTATATGTTCTAGTCTAGATGTTTCAAGAAATAATAATATTTTTTATTGTCTGAGTTTAACTCTTTAAAAATATGTATACAAGAGGATTTCTCAAAATTAATGTTATTTTAGGAGATAAAGCTGTTAGATCACAATAATAATTCTCTCTTTAGGAAAATGTTAGACGAGTTTTTCTCGAAACTGTCTTTTTCGATACGATACCTACGATTTCTCAACTTCTACTGACGCGATTTATTTGAATTTTTCAAAAAAACTCTTCTTTAGAGATTTCTCTTCAGTATGACCTAGACTAAACCCACAATTCCAATTTTTACTATTTTTAGAAAATAATAATCCTCTGTTTCAGCGGAATTTTCTCGAAACTATCTTATTCAATATGACACCCACGATTTCTCAATTTTTACTGAACCGATTTACTTTAAATTTTTAGAGAGTCTTTTTTATAGACTTCTCTTCACTAATACTATTCACTATTACTATTTTTAAAAAATAATACTCCTCTGTTTTACGAAATTTCAAAGGAATTATTCTCGAAACAGTATTTTTTGATACGATACCCATGATTTCTCAACTTCTACTGTAACGATTTACTTCATATTTTAACTAATTTTTTTAAATAAATCTCAGTTTAATATAAACTATAATTCATCCTCAAAATCCAATTTTTACTATTAAAAAAATTAAAATATCAAAAAAATTGTACAAAAAAATGTTAAGACAGTTTAAGCCAAGCAAAACAAAAATTTTACTTGTCCTTAGTTTATTAAAATAATAATAATAAAAAAAAATTATTAAGATTATTTTGAGGGCGAAAATTAGGTGTATGGTCACGTGACCTTCCACTTCATCACCTCCAGGAATTAAATTTTTTTGAATGTTTTTTAAATTTTAAATATCTTCCTCAAAACGTTAGTTAATAACATGAAAAATTGATAGTACATTTTTTTCAAAAATTACTAAATTGCCTCTTGACTAGAATACACCCTTTTCGTACTCAAGCGCCACGTAAGAAAACTATTTGCTCGCTTTCTTCAAAATACCGTATCAATTTTCTTACAAAACTGTTTCCAAACCCTATCCTTTACCCTATCCATTACAAATCGGACACATTAGACAAAATTCCTCCATATATCTCCTTCTCCCAAAAAACAAGCAAATCGAAAAAAAAACTTACCAAAGACGCCGGGCACGAAGCACATGCAATTCGTTAACATGGCACCTTTGACAACATCCAACTCCGGCAAAATAACGTAAATAAATAAGGCCAAGCCTATTGTGTGCATTGTCTCCATGAAGAACGCCTGCAACATAATTGAAAATATGTTTATTGCCTCGTAATGCATAAATCACAATGATATATTGTTTTGGCGACCGCTGCGAAGCATAAGAGAGGCTGATCGCCATTGATGGATGTAGATCGAGATTGAATTAATACAGAAAGACATGGGAGATCGGGGGAAAAAATCATATTGATACACATACTAAATATTATATGAAGAAGC